GCTTGGCACGGAACGTGTTAACTGTCGAAAACAGACTAAAGAAAAAGGAAAAGAAAAGATGAAAGGACAAACGTGCGAAAGAAACGGATGAATCATCGAACGGAAAAATTTCAATAAGACCCGTATGAAAGGGTGCCCCCTACCCCCATCATAATCAATGATATTGCATGTACTTGTGTTGTCGTTCGTGTTTGCGGTGGAGGTCGAAGGTCCTTCAGGATTTGAGGGGTCACTGGCAGTTTCGTACCACCTCGTTTCGATCACTGAGTTCTCGGGCCAGTCGACCGAACCCCTGCCTTCTGCTGCATTCTGTTCGTTGATCGACACTGACAAATTGCAGCTCGTCAACAGTGTTTTGTACGAATACAAATACAATCGATAACTTACTCCGAATTGCTAGATTTTTCGAATAAACGAACTACCTAGGGAGAATGTTTCAGTGGAACTTTTTACTTTACTTGACAAAAAAAACGATCCAACTATGTTGTAATTAAGACGTTAATGAAATTTTCTATTTAATTTATTTAAGGTACTATGCAAATAATTTTCTAATAATTTTCTAATAATTTATTATCTAATAATAAATTTGTTTAATTTTATTTATAATAATAAATTTATTTAAATTTATTTATAAATAAATTTATTATCTAATAATAATTTTCTAATAATTTATTATCTAATAATAAATTTTCTAATAATTTATTTAAGGTACTGTGCAAAGAAGAGAGATGGAGCTTTGCAGTCCCACAGAGGATAAATTCTTTCATGGAGTACTTAAGTTAACATCCGAGTGTTAATCATTTACCACCGGAGATTTCGAACATCGTGCGATTTAACATGCCTTCCATGATCTCAGACACTTCAGGGCTCCCACCAACGATCCCATCCCTCTCAGATTCGGATTTCCCATCATTCTTCAACCTCACCAAACGTTTCAGGTAGCAGGCGACATTCGGCAGTTTCGATCTGATCTATTCGTTATGATCGATCGGTAAACGAGATTCCGTTGGAAAACAAGACGAAATGTCGTGTAACAAACACACAAGTGCTCGATTCACTTTGAACTGGCGCGAATTAAAATTGGGGATTAAATTAATATAAATTATTCTTAATTTTTGCAAAACTTCGTAATTATTAATTATCTTCATATTTACGACATTACCACGACATTTCTAAATTTGTTACAGTTAATGAAATTTATACAGGCTGTTTCTGAAATCGTAGTACAACTGGCCAGGAGATGATTCCACGTGAAAAAAAATAAGTAGAAAGAAAAGTATGAAATCTTCTTGATTTAAGCGTCCGTTCTCGAGAAAATTGAGTTTGGAAATTTATTAATTCCAGATTTGAGTTTAATTAATTCTAGGCGCGACGGGAAAGAATAATTAATAGACGAGTATCCCATATTCAAAAGTAACTAAAAAATGGAGAATAAAAATTTTTTCATTGGCATAAATTTTCAAACTCAATTTTCTCGGAAACAGAGCACCTTGCAAAAGAATTTTGTTCTCCGTTATCTTACTTATTTTCGCACGTAGGAAGATCTCCTGTGAATTATTCTTTTCCGTCGCGTTTCAAATTAGCTAAATTCAAGCAATACCCGATAAAATTTTTTCGAAAACGGAGCGTCACGTGGAAAGATTTTGTTCCTTCATTCTCGACTTATTTTTAATCGTAGAATCACAAATTTCTCAAATTCCAAATGAAATATATCTATTTAAAAATAAATTTTTTTTTTTTTTTTTTGAAAGGGAAAACAAATAATTTCGACGAACGATGTCTCGACATTTAAACAAAAATTTCACTCGAAATAAAAATAAATTTTCCTGAATAGCAGGCAACCAAGTTTCAAGGCCTCACCTTGCTGGTTATGCTGTTCGTGATAAATAGTTTTATACTCCTAACACGCTTATCAATGGAGCCCTGTGTATCTAATTCCTCCGCATTGTTCGCCACAGAGGCGTTACTATCCGGCACGTTTCCCGACGATGGCCCATCACTCATAGCGAAAGTCAAAAAAAGTCTACGAGCAGAAACGCAAAAACTAGGCGTAGGCCTTGGGTTACTTGTCAATTTTCACATCGTGCGATTTGAACATTACTCGTCACGGTTTCTATCGACCGTCGCTTTTTCATTGGCGCGTTCATTGTTTTCTTTCGCTCGTGTCCGATTTCGCTTTAATATCCAGACAGCAATCAGAGGATCGCTGTTTTCACGTAGGAGAATAGCCAAAAGGAGTCGCGATAAATCGAATTGCGCGCACGATACGCAAGTCGATAATGTCTCATTGCTTGTATCATTTGAATTTTCGCGTAATTGTGACAATTTGTATCAAACTGTTTGTCGCAACGTTGTAAAGAAAGAACGCTCGAACGAATTTATTTTCATCAAAAGACACGCAGTGAGAATTCATTTCAGTAGAATCGTGTTGAACAATTTACTTTCAAAGTGTCAACGAAGAGAGAAACTGATCCGCAAGAAAAGGAAAACAAAAGATATTTGAAGGTTATGGGGGAAAGAATTACGAATTGGAGTACTCGGCTGGGAGGACATGGCGATGAAGAAACAGACACGACGTGTCATCATTGTGTCAGCACGCGATCACTATGTGAAGTGACAAGCAACGATTCACTTACCTGATAAGTGTAAGATGTACAAGGAACGTAAAATTCTCTGCTCATAATAATCGAAGCTCGGAACGGTTGTAAAATCCAGCTGACGAATCTTGGGCAAGTGTCAAAATGCCGGTGGCGCCATCTTGAACTTGTCTGGAGTCGAGGTCGTCAAGCTGTCACGAGGAAAAATTCTCGATTTCTCTCGAGTACGAGTGCCATCCTCGAGTTCCCCTCATGAAGGACCAATCACGGCAGCTTGATCGAGGTTATACACGTCGTGCGAACTCCAAAACGTTAGGGCAAAAGGCAAACACATCCGTTGTCAAATCACAGTACAAGTCACCAACACACGATACACTTATCACGCTGCTATTAGAACGAGTGAGCCATCGAATTAATCACAATGCTCTCGATTGGACGGATACCGTTGCAAATGCTTCGAAAGTCAAGTGATAAATGCCTGTTTGCTGTTCAAAACTCGCGGTGCATCTGTGCAATAGAATTACGGCATTGTACTACCTTACTACGCCATTTTCATGTGCAGTTTTCGACTCAACCATAACACAAAACCACCTTTCGCGTTCACTGGCAAGTGCCGACTGCCGCCAATCACGAACATTAAGCGAATAATAATCATGGCGGCCCAATGTTTCGTTCCACCAGCGCCATCAAAAGCAATCCATTTGGATCGCAACTCGACCTCTGTCGATAATGTAAACGACGATAAATTTTTTACCTTTGTTTACGATCTTTATGTACACGTATTTTATTTATTATTCGTCAGTATAAGCAAAGCAACAAGAAATGCAAATGCACTTGATAAAAATATTATTTTAATTCTGTATCGATGTATTAAGTCGTGATACAAATCACGTATCAAACGACTTCGATCAGTTAAAAATAAATTCACGATTCTCAGTGACCTTGCAGTTATAAGGACTTACGTAATCTCATTTTTTTTTTATATTATACACATTTTATAAATTTCTAAACATGGGACAATTTCTAAAAGTTAATCTCTAAGCTTTCGACACACAATGTAATAATATTAGTCTAGAACATTAAAAGATACAGCATATTAAAAATAAATTAAAATATTTAAAAAATACAATTTAATAAAAGTTTGTATTTTGATCGTTTATCGGAAATTTGTAAATTATTTAACTCGTAAAGTTCATTCTGCATCCAACACTGACACAACCACATTTAACACCCTTCGTGCTTGCTGCCAAGCGAGGTGGATACTTGGAAGATGGATGTTTCTTTTTTTGTGATTCGATAACTATATTTCGCGGTATTAAAATGTCATTCCATGGAATCTCGACATCGTCAGTAACGCAAGCTTCTTCCTGTACTGGTTGTATGTTTATTGGCTTTTCGAGTACAAGATCACTCCATGGAATTTCTAATGTAGAATCGCAACTATCAGGACTAGCTTGTTTCGATGGAACAGTTTCCATAATAATCAAATCTTTCCACGGTAGAAGCATAGTTCCCAGAGATTCCTTTTCCTCTGGTTCTTTGTCGACACCTGTGTCATCCATTTGTCCATCACGATCGTTTAGAGGAGTTAAAGAAACTTCTTGACGAATTTTCATGCCGGCTGCTGGTAATGCAATATCCTTCCATGGCAGTTCAATCTTCGAATCACACAGTACAGATACATCTGAAAACTCTTTCCGTAATTCTCTCAAATATGGTTCATGCCACAGTTCCTCTTCTGGATTATATACAAATGTTTGCCTCTTCCTTTTGCATTGATCTTTCCTTCGTTGCTGCTTGTGCAATTTTTGCTGAACGCACTTACAGCCTGATAGTTTTCTCTTATTGTCCATCATAATAGTAAAATATTGTGAAATACACGTTCATCACATTCAATAATATTAATAAGATATGAATTTATGTTTCGATACAACTTGTTAATTTTCTAACCTAACGTTATCTAACCTAGTGTTATAATTGGAATCAACGTAGTTTGTTTTGTTTTGTCATACACAGCATTTTTAATATATACGTATATATACATATGTGGTTAGAAAAATATTTTCTTAGAACAGGTGATGTCGTATTGAAAACGAACACGTATGAAGTATGTAACTTATGTAGTAATAATAAATCTTTCCTTTCTTTTATCTCGTCTATATTTTCATCTAATTATTTTTCAAGAATTTTAGGTTAGGTCTTTTAAAGAAGAAAAACAGTATAGTATGACGATTGTATAGAAAGTATTTGAAAATTACGTATATGATCATTGTTAATCGGATACAAATACTTAACACACACACACACACACATAGAGTATATATACACACACATTCAACATACATCACGCACACACACACCATGCATATGCATATACATATATATATATAGTATATAGATGTATATATATGTATATATATAAGCATATAAGTAAAATTCGTTTAATCTCATACATTGGCCAATCATTTGTACTTTTCATCACGACATCTACCGAGAAATGATAGTATAATGTTAAAAATCCACTAGTTGCCGATAAAAGGAAATCCGTGGAGTCTCTGCTTTAATTTCACAATAAAAGGTGTAAAAGGAAACATAGTAACGCTATATTCTGTTCAAATGTTTCTACTATAAAATTTATCTGTTAAAATAATCGTAGATACAATTACAAATGCTTGAGTTGAAGATGGAAGAAACAGTGTAGGAATCGCTGACGGATACTGATTTGACTAACGCGGTAAGGCTACGTTTAGAAGGCAGCCATCTTGCTATCCCTAATCAAAGATCTTCGGCTAGCGGCTATCGCTGTCTGGTTTTCAGCCGGTTAATATCAACACACAGTTCAACAAATGGCTTTAAAACGAATTAATAAGGTACGTGAATGATCAGAGGTGTTCGTATTGTACAAAGACAAACGGGTGTTGATGTGGTGTGTGTCGAATGCGGTTGAACGCCCTTAACGATTTTGCAGTGAAGCAATGTGAGCCAGCATTGAAAATCATGTTGGCTTTCCTCCTTTTTTTGCATTCTTCGGTTGTGCTTTGATTTACTTGCATACCCCTTTATGTCGACATAGTGCGTTACGCACATTGCATAGTGCCACTTTGTGCCAGTGGACGTAGCTACGGTGACAGTGAAAATGTAAAAAAATTTTAAGTGGCTAGCCGATAAATTGCCGGAAGTAACGTAAAACCGTACATTACATACATCTATGTATACATATATGTTTACTCATATATACATATATCCATGAAGCTATAGATAACTTAGAAATTACGAAAATTTCGTTAGTGCATTCATAGTCCATTTACGAATAGAAATAGCATTAAAAATGTTCTAAATGACCTATCACTTATTTGCATCATAATTTAATATAATTTTCAACATGTGAGATTGTAGCACACATCAGTTAGATGAAGTGAATCATTCAGAGATTAATGTACTTTTCATGATATCTATTAACGATCTGATCTGTCAGTCATTATAATATTTCTGTATCACAGCATCATTCAAAATAGTAGAACAAAAAAAAACAAAAAATTAGTACTTAAACAGTACTAACTGTTTAAGTACTAGTCTAATGATTAAACAGTACATACTGTTTAATCATTCAATCAGAGTGATATGTCACTATTCAGCTTCACTTCCATTTTGTAATCATATACTTGTGAATATTAATTTAACATGTAGTGCAAGTATTTTAACTCAGTTATATTTAGTTTCATATTTAATTTATCATTAAGTAGTATTTGTTCGAATTGATTCTTTTATTCATTATAACTTTGCTATAATTCGCATTTAACTATATAACAAAATATTTGCATTGATATTTCACTTTATTCTATCTTCGATATTATGATACCTCGGGATGATTAACTTATGTATAAATAAGTTGATTCTTCTCAAAATCTATGAATATGAATGATGAAATTATTTTATATATTTATATATATGGGTTTTATATATATGGGTTTATATACTATGTATGATCTTAACATTTATTTCAGTTATATTAATACATGTAATATATATAGATGTGTGGAAGAATATTCTAGAATATTTTTTTTTACACATATCATATATTCTATGTAGCTATAGACATTTCAAAATTTTAAATTTCATTGTGCAATGCATAAAAATATTATTGGTTATTACATTATTATTACATATTATACATACATACATACATATTATTGATTAAATACAATATTTTCCTTAGAAAAATTAATGTTGGAAATATATGCAACCACATATATGCAATATACATTTTATACAGATATAAGAAAAATTATTATTATAATCTTTTTATATTTAGGAACTTCAGGACCTTGGTAGAGATCCACCTGCGCAATGCTCTGCTGGTCCTGTAGGAGATGATCGTAAGTTATTTGAAAGTATTTATCTCTGCACGTTCTTTAACTAAAAATTATAGCAAATCATAATTGTCCTTATTGTTGGTTTAAATTGATGTAATTAGTTTAAAATGTTATCGTACTTTATGTGATTGATTATAATTGTTTTTATTTTTTTAAAAAACATATTTTTTAGATAAAGCGAATTTTAATAAAAAGTATAACTTCTTGATGTTGACGCAATAAAATATTTATTATTTTCTAATTTCATAATAATCAGTTATGATTTGTAATGAATTATAATTTCTACATTTAATCATATACTTGCTTTCAGTATTCCATTGGCAAGCAACTATTATGGGACCAGTAAGTATATAATAATGTTAATACTATTACCTGAATTAATTAGATTAATATTTATTATTTTAAAAATGCATATCTATTTCATTATTAATGAACATATAATCTGTGAGCATTATTTTCAAGTATCTTCGCTTTCACTCTGATACTTAAAGGTATTTAACGATGAAATTCATATTATACTACTCATAACTACTAATTTTATTTAAAAATGCATAACCCAGTGCATGTAATTCTTTATGTGATATTTCAACAAGATTTTACGAATCACTTTTAATTCCATTAAACCACACAATCTTATAACGTGATACTTATATAATATCATTAGTATTTGTTTTTGTATTTAAAATACTTGTTTACTCTTTTAATATTGCAAACTGATTCGTATTAAATATTAAATATAATTTAAGTAAATTTATTATTTTATATTTTTGATATGTAATATAAAAACGGGATATTTCATTATAAATATAAACAAAAACTATATTATATTGATTTATTAGTATTTTATATAAAATATTATTGTATAATTAGGAGTAAATATTATTTTCAGCCTGACAGTCCATACCAAGGAGGAGTATTTTTCCTTACAATTCATTTTCCCACAGATTATCCATTCAAACCACCTAAGGTATATTAGTTCATTTTTTTAATAACATCTTATACAACAGAGACATATAAGTAACATTAATTTTATGTGTAGGTTGCTTTTACAACCAGAATTTATCATCCAAATATCAACAGTAATGGAAGTATTTGTTTGGATATTTTAAGATCGCAATGGTCCCCTGCACTTACCATATCAAAGGGTGTGTAGAAATTTTGAAATGTGACGTGAACGCACATATATAGTGGAATGAAATTTTTTTAGGAAATATTTAATCGTCGTTCTCAAGAGAGAAAATTTGATTTCTTTCTTTTTTTAGTTTTACTATCAATATGCTCCTTGCTTTGCGATCCAAATCCAGATGACCCTCTGGTACCAGAGATAGCAAGGTTATACAAAACTGACAGGGAGAAGTACAATGAATTGGCACGTGAATGGACGCGCAAGTATGCCATGTGATGCGCCAATCTCCGTTGACTTCAACATCTAAAAGCCACCAACAAGCAGCCCCAGCCTATTGCCACTTATGCATCAGCACCGATTGAAATTAGCTATGGCTCGTCTACTTTAAAACTTAAGCCAGTACTCGGGCTCGAAGAATGCTCAGACAACCGTGATCAATCTGAAGTTCCCTTCGTCCCGAGAGGCCTGCGAATATTGAGACGTTGCCACAATGGCAATTGAGGCAATTTGAAAGGTGGTCACATAACATTATATATATATATATAAAAATCAGGAAAAAAGAAACATGTCCGCTTTGATTTTCATAAATAAAAATGGAAGTAAAATATAGGAGAGTGAAAGTAGGATTTGTATTTGAATTTAATAGTTTAATTTCTAATTATTGTGCTTATAATATCGTAATATTATATACCTACTTTCTCAGTGAAATGAAAACCTTGAACTGACAGCACACCAATTGTTAGTTTTAACGCAAGTGAGCAATGTTTGCCCGTCCCTTGGAACGATGCGGTCACTTTTTTGTAAGACTGGGCTATATATAAATACTACTGAAACTATACCTGTATGTTTTGTTCAATTATTAAAATTCCTTACCTATCTAACAAATTCTACGAGTAACTCGAAATTTATGGTTTGGTTCCTGTGTGCGTGTAGTAATTTAATTATGCATATCGTTAATCGATAAATTGGACTATTATGCCTCTTGGGAATGATTCAATATAAATAAAGTAATAAAAATTTTGGTGACTTAACTGACCGCGACATAAGTACCTGCCGTTCATGGGCCCGTGCGATATTGATATTAATCAAAGGCACTTACGATTTTTTATGGCGTGAATTTAACGTCGTTTGGCTTTGTTTACATATGAAGAAAAGAAAAAAGGAAAAAAAATGTAGTCATCGATGTCACTATTTATCGATAAATGATGAGAGCGAAATACATTTTGTTTGAATTCTTACGTAAAACGCGTTACAAAATAGATAAGAAATGTTTTAACGAGCTCTAGAGCTTAACAATGGATTTGTAAAATCCTCTGAATTCATTTTATATAATAGTAAACGTCATTATAATTATCAATAAAGTCATGCGTCGTACCTTGCGAATTAGGAATTCGCCCGTCGCTATGTTTTACTCAGATCAATGCGTTTATTATTGTTTTGCGTGTAAATTTTTCTTTAAGCGATAATTTCTTTTTATTATTATTTAGCAATTGTCTTAAGTTTCCTTTTCATCCACAATATAAGTACGTGCCCCCTTTTTCTCTCACGTCCTTATAATTATTATATTACAAACTCTTACACTATACGAACAAAATATAATCGATAAATAGATCTTACTTAATTCTCCGCCTGCCCGCAATATATTTTCAATCGTTGCATATTTTCCTACCGTATTGTGGCTGCAAAGGACTCCAATGAGATATCAAGTTATTTTCAAAATTTACGTAAACGCAATTTTTACAAGGTGGAAAGGACGTGTTGTCATTCAGGGCAACGTGTTTATCGTTAGCTTGTTCAATCTAGAAACAATTGCACCTTTCGTTGGTGCTAGCAGTGTTTCGGCTTCTAATCCTAGATAACAAATAAATACAATCCGAGATATCGTAAAGATGATCACTTAATTAGTAAAGTAAGTAAACGATTTTGTCTTGCGAACGGTGTAAAGTGCGTTAACGAGCAAGTTTCGAGTGTAATCGGTGCTTAAAAATATGGCAAGCTCACGGAGCAAGTACGAAGCCTAGAAAAGACAAATCGATTAGTATGTAATATGGTATATCACTTGTTAATGTCGATTTTGTCTCATACGAACGTGTACTGCTGTAATTTAATTACAAGTAAAAAAAAAAAAAAAAAAAAGAACGCGCGGCAAATCAGGTATTTAAATATTTGCCTCGAAAAGTGGATCATCGTTCATCTCTATTAGAAGGAAAACTACTCATGTGTAATTAATTATTATTATCACATCTCATGTGTAATTATTATTATACATATTATAATTAATTATTATTATTTTAGCATTAGCCCTTTATATAATAAATTTCACATGATGATAAGGTGTAACCATTCTTAATTACTTAAAACCACGATCAATCTAGCACTACCGATATTGTTGTTTCTGTTTTCTTTTTTTTTTTTTTTTTTTTTT